AGTAAAACATGTATTTAAGCTATGTGATACTTTTTAATCATAAATCATAATTCAGAATTAAAATCCCAAAGTAGGCAGGATAGCACAGTTGAAAGAGCACAGCTGTGGCACTGAAAGAGTGTTTACTTAAATTCTCTGAGCCTCTAGTTCCCTCATATATAAAATACTATACCTGGCCAATAGTACAGTATTACAGTAATAGTACGAACCTCAGAGGGTCGTTGTGATGCTGAAATAAGACAATCCTTGTAAAGTACACCCACAATGCACATATATATATATCTGCATATATATTATCACTTTACATATTTACATATAAAATGAATAATTTCAACATGGGATGAAGAGGGAGAGAAGAGGTAAGTGAAGTCTTTGCCTTAATAAAGGCAAAAGAATAACTCTAGACAGAGAAATTTTAAAAGTATAAAAATATATGTTAAAATTTTAAGAGTTGTGCTCACGTCAGTAACATATATACCAAAATTGGAACAACACAGAGATGATTAGCATGGCCCCTGCACAGGAGTGACACACAAATTTGTGAAGCATTCCATATTTGTGTACTTGCTAGAAACAAAAAATTTAAAGGTTACTCCTAAAGAACAGAACTGTGTAACTTTCAGACTCCCGGACGATGCACCTCAAGAGTGAGACATGGACAGGTTCCTTAGGTGGCACGTAGCATAGAATGTTTTTAAAACATGGCTATAGTCAATCATTGTGATTACACTGAGTGGGGTGGCCTGTGCCTATAATCCCAGCGGTTTGGAAGGCAGAGGTGGGAGGACTGCTTGAGGCCAGGAGTTTGAGGCCCCCCTGAGCAACATAGTGAGACCCCATCTCTACAAAATGTTTTTTAAAAAGCCAGATGTGGTGGCTGCTGTGGTCCCAGCTACTCAGGGGCGAGGCAGGGTGGTTACTTCAGCCCAGGATTTGAGGGTGCAGTGAGTATGATTACGCCACTGCACTCTAGCCGAGGCAATGGAATGAGACCCAGTCTCTTAAAAAAAAAATTCTGATTATGTTAGAGCAACGTCAGTTTGATACTATCACATCTCTACGTCTTCTCTTTCTTACTCTTGTTAACACTTAAATAAAAAATAAATAAATAAAGAGGGAACAGGCTCCAGACAGGCAAAAAGGTCTGGCTACAAGGTAATAACATCATTTGGTATTTTTTGTAATTCTATTTAAGTTATTTTATTTATTTATTTACTTTGAGATAAGGTCTGGATCTGTCACCCAGGCTGGAGTACGATGGCACAATCTTACTTCACTACAGCCTCCACCTCCAGGGCTCAAGTCATCCTCTCATCACAGCCTCCAGAGCTGCTGGGACTACAGGTGTGCAACCCCATGTCAGGCTACTTTTTTTTGTATCTTTTGGTAGTGATGGTCTCATTATGTTGCCCGGACTGATCTCAAACTCCCAAGCGATTAACCCACTTCAGCCTCCCAAATTGCTGGGATTACAGGGGTGAGGCACCATGCCCAGCCTATTTATACTGACTTATATTTATGGAAGGTGATACTGGTTTTTCCTTTTATAGTAATGATATAAAAATCTTACTTTTAAATGAATTGATTTATCTGTTTAGGTGAGTAATTAGGTAGAAAATATTGGCCAGGTGCTGTGGCTCACGCTCTAATCCCAGCCAGCACTTTGGGGGCTGAGCACATGGATTACTTGAGTCCGGGAATCTGAGATCAGCCTTGGCAACGTGGCAAAACCCCATCGCTACAAAAAATAGGAAAATTAGCCTGGCACAGTAGCATGCACGTGTAGTTCCAGCTACTTGGGAGGCTGAGGCAAGAGGATCACTTGAGCCCGGGATGCAGAGGTTGCAGTGAACCGAGATCACACCATTGCACTCCAGCCTGGGTGACAGAACAAGACCCTGTCTCAAAAAAAAAAAAGAGAGAGAGAGAGAAGATAGTAATTACTGCCACTGGGATGCATTGTGAAAAAAAAAAAATTAAAAAGTAAAAAAAAATGGCTGGGTGCGGTGGCTCAACCTGTAATGCCAGCACTTTGGGAGGCCGAGGTGGGTGGATCACCTGAGGTTGGGAGTTTGACCCAGCCTGACCAACATGGAGAAACCCCGTCTCTACTAAAAATACAAAAAATTAGCCAGGCGTGTTGGTGCATGCCTGTAATCCCAGCTACTTGGGAGGCTGAGGCAGGAGAAATGCTTGAACCTGGGAGGCGGAGGTTGCAGTGAGCCAAGATCAGGCCATGGCACTTCAGCCTGGGCAACCATTTCAAAAAAAAAAAAAAAAATTAATAAGTAACAGGTGGTATGCAGATATTACAAAACTATGAGAATGGCATGCAAATAACTAGAGTTTGGCAAAAAATTGAACAAGAAAAATTCTGTCAATCCAAGAAAAGAAGGAAACAAAATAAAGTAGAAAAATTAATTACAAACAAATCAAAAATCATAATAAAAGTAAGCTGGGGTAAATCCTTTTGTCTTAGTCCATTCCAGCTGCTATAACAGAATGCCAGAGACTGGGCGGCTCATAAACAAATTGATTCGTCACAGTTCTGGAGGCTGGGAAGTCCAAAATGAAGGCACTGGCAAATCCCGTGCCTGCTTCCCAGACTGCATCTTTTTGCTGTGACTTCACTTGGTGGAATGGGCAAGGGATTTCTCTGGGGTCTCTTTCTAAGGGCACTAATCTTATTCATTAGAGTTTCACCCTGTATCACCTTGGGAATTTGGATTTCAACATATGGATTTGGGGGACATAAAAATTGAGCCCATTGTACTACCCTCGAAAAGAAAAACATTTTTCCCCTTAAAAAAAAAAATCCAGCTATGAACTACCTAGAGAACTACATGCCCCTGACATGGGGACTATTACAATTCAAGGTGAGATTTGGGTGGGGACACAGAACCAAACCGTATCAGATGGTTCTTTAATAAAGATCAATAAAATGGTCAAACCTTTAACAAATTTCAGTAAGAAAAAAGGAAAGAAGACACATCTTTTTTAAAAAATTAATGAAAAAGGTTTCATTACTACAGAAATAAAGGACTTTAAAATTGTAAAAAAAAAAAAAAAAAATTCATTACTACAGAAATAAAGGACTTTAAAATTGTAAAAAAAAAAAAAAAAACTATAGAGCATAGCTTTATGCTAATAAATTTGAAATCAGTGTTTAGATGAAATGGATTATTTTCTAGGAAGACATAAGTTACAAAAAAGACTCAAAAAGAGATAAAAGATCAATTTCATTTTTACAGTTGAATAGCTCCACTTAAATATAACCAGACAAAATTCTTTATGATTGAATTTTATCAAGCTTCAGGGAACAGATAATGTTTTCACTGAAGAAGGCATTAGCTAAAAAAATAAAATCATAATAATCTGGTTTGTTTTATTTGTATTTTTAGGTTTCAGAGCATAAAAAGATGGAAAGCTTCCAATTCATGCTGCCAAGCTAGCAGAACTCTGACAGCAATACCACAAAGCAGCACCAAAAAATAAACCTATAGGTTAATCTCACTTGTGGAATATATAAATACAAAGTGGAAGTCGAGGCTGGCTGCGGTGGCATGTGCCTATAATCCCAGCACATTATAGGTGGGAGGATTGCTTGAGCCCAGGAGTTCAAGACCAGCCTGGGCAACACAGTGAGCTCCCCTGTC